AACTGATTCAAAGCCAACAGCGGCAGTATTTTAATGCACCGTCTTTAATGTTACTTTACAATAATATTCACCATTAAAGCGGTCGAACTACTCGTTGGTAAAAACGGCCGCCAAATTGTGACCGCACTTTTATGGCACCGTTCTGTAGGAAACCAAGGCTTTACTGGTCATTTTGATCACATTGAAATAGTATTGAAATCGTCGCAATGTAATAATATTTAAGTGTTTTGGTTTTTACTAGTGCAGTTATTGAAGCTATAGATTTCTCAGGTACGAAGTTTGTGTGATGTAACGCTGTTTCGTGTAGTAAAAATTAAGTGAAAAAGAATCCGAACTGTGCGTCACGGCCGTCACGTTGTGTTGTGACAATTTCAAATGGTAATAAAATTGCCGAAAAAATGGTAACACGAAAAGGATTGCGTGGTTGTTGGGTGTAATAACATTCAATATAACCATTAGCGTAACTAGCAATTTATCCTGGGGTGGGCCTGGGGCTGAGCCCAGAGAGGGCCTAGGGCTTTTGTTTTTTTTTTTAATTGAAAAATAATTTTAAAAAACACATTTTTTGAATAAAACGTTTACATGAATTTCTCTATCAATAAATTTCATACTCGGTTATCCCCGTAGATTACTTAAATACCTACCTACAAATTTTCTAAAAAAATAAAAATTACCACATTTTTTGAACACAACAAAATAATATTAACTAAATAAAACTAGAAACGTCATTTTTATTGCATCACAAGCAAATAAAAAATTAATACGTAGCCAAGAGTCATAGTTCAGGATTTCTCTGCGGGGGTGCCCAGCAGAACCTGGGGGGCCCGGCCCCCGGGCCCCCCTGTAGTTACGCCAATGAATACAACCCTCCCGGAAAAACATTTTATAGCTTCCTAGCTTTCTCACACCGATTTGATCACAAACAAAAATGGATAACCGTCTTCATTTTTATATTTATTTGAGAAATTTCGAAAAGCTTTGCAATAAAATCAGGAACATACTTACCTATGATTTCTTCGAGGATATCTTCCTTGAACTTTCCTTCACTTCTTCATAATATAATTATTTTATTGACTGATCTGACTGAAGTAAACCATTTTCACTGCACTATTAAATTAAACTTATCACTAGGTAACAAAAAGGAAAACAAGCTACCGTCATCGCTTGAAATTTCCTATAAATTTATTTTGTTTATTTAAACTGATATTTCCATATTTTTTATTAGAATAATAAAAAACCGTTAAACCTTATCCTCATATCGGAGATAATACATAAACTCGAAAATATAGTTTTTAGTAAATAGGGAAAAACAAATAAATAAACTATCATAAGCTATCAATAAAATTAACTATTAAAAAACGTGTTAGATTATATTGCCATGTATAATTAATAAAATTACAGTAAATATGTATTTAGTGAAATTTATTGGAAGTGGAACATATTTTCTTAGAATTTCTAAAAATCATGATTGGCAGTGTTTGTACTATTCTTAACTCTATACTCTGAATTAAAAAATATGCATGTTAATAACTTATACATATAAAGGATATATATTTCATTCTTACTGCAAAATACCGTATGATCGAAAAATACGGCGTTAAAAACGGCTGGGAAATGATAATTGATGATAATTTTAGCGAAGTGAATCTCTAGACGTTACTTGCTAAAGATTGACACAAAACTTGTCAAAAATTAACACTAAAGGATTTAAAACGGATAGAATGTTTCTAAACACAAATCTATTTCCAAAAAAAAAATTTAAGTACCTTAAGGCCAACTGTCAATCAACGCCATTAAATAATGAAGAGTACGGGCTAAGTAAATGACGTCTAGGGGCTCACCTCGCCAAAATTGTCATCTAATGTCATTTCCCAACCACCTTTGACGCGGTTTTTTTTTGATCGTCTGGTACTTATAAAAGTAATAAAGGACATATGTCATTCCTACTACAAAATACTACACGATCAAAAATAAAAGTCGGAGTTGGCTTGGAAAAGAAGATAAAGCCAATTTGACGCCTTTTCAGTTATACGATATTTGTAGTTGGCGGTTAGCAGGTATCGTAGACTCATTTCATCTTCAGTTTCAAAGTTTGGGTAAAATTAACCAACAATATCAAGTTTGTCCATGAATCAGAGATTTCGTCAGACAACATCCAAAAGAATGACAGAAAATACAATTTGCCTATGAATTAAAATGACAGACACAACTATCATTGTCGGAGATTCTCCAGTTGGACAGACTATACAGGGTTTCATTGAAATGGTGTAAAAATAGTAAAAATAAAGTTCCTATAAGCACAGAATATCTAGCTACGCAACAGAAGCCTCGTTACAAGTATAAAATCGTAGGTCTCAAATCAGATATTTTATTGCGGTAGTTTCACTACTACATAACAGAGGTCGATAAATTTAAAAGAAAACAGTTTTCTACAAACGAAATTTAAAAGAATTTTATGCAGTGTTGCCATTGTGTAATTTATATTGTAATATTTCCTCTGATAAAGCCTAGCTTCAAATTTGCTACATTATTTAAACATATTAAAATAGATTAGAGCTCTTTTTTCAAACGTTTAAATATTTAACCCGCCATGTTAGTTGGAGTTAAATCTTACGAGCTGAATTAAAATCACTTCCTGACGTTTGATTCTAACTGAATCCTGAATTTTGATTTTTGATTGTAATTCGGCGACAATATAATAAGTATTGTTCTACTATTATGACACCACTTCCCGACGTTCGATTGTGTTCATACCGTATGATCGGGAAAAAACGGCATTAGCGATGGCTATGAAATGAAAATCGCTGTCATTTTATGTATAAATTTATATGGGAAATGTCGTCGATCGTTTTTTCCCAGCCAACTGGACGCCGTTTTTTTCGGTATCATACGGTATTTGATATATACTTGCGTATTTTTCATGGCATTGCAATATTATGGTACCATGAAGCATATCTCTAGACGTTATATACTTGCTAAAGATTGACACAAAACTTGTCAAAAATTAACACTAAAGGATTTAAAACGGATAGAATGTTTCTAAACACAAATCTATTTCCAAAAAAAAATTTTTTAAGTACCTTAAGGCCAACTGTCAATCAACGCCATTAAATAATGAAGAGTACGGGCTAAGTAAATGACGTCTAGGGGCTCACCTCGCCAAAATTGTCATCTAATGTCATTTCCCAACCACCTTTGACGCCGTTTTTTTTTGATCGTCTGGTACTTATAAAAGTAATAAAGGACATATGTCATTCCTACTACAAAATACGACACGATCAAAAATAAAAGTCGGAGTTGGCTAGGAAAAGAAGATAAAGCCAATTTGACGCCTTTTCAGTTATACGATATTTGTAGTTGGCAGTTAGCAGGTATAGTAGACTCATTTCATCTTCAGTTTCAAAGTTTGGGTAAAATTAACCAACAATATCAAGTTTGTCCACGAATCAGAGATTTCGTCAGACAACATCCAAAAAAATGACAGAAAATACAATTTGCCTATGAATTAAAATGACAGACACAACTATCACTGTCGGAGATTCTCCAGTTGGACAGAGTATACAGGGTGTCATTGAAATGGTGTAAAAATAGTAAAAAAAAAGTTCCTATAAGTATAGGGCGGAAAATGCATATTAAGGGAGTTAAGGGTACTGAAAGGGTGAATTTAAAAACGGTTATTTTGAAATTGTAGGCTTAAAAACGAGATAAAATTTCGAAAAAAAAATCCTCTGCCATAAATTTTGACCTTAAATCAAATGGTGATAATGAAATTATTTGAAAAAGCGGAAAGGATACTTTTGGAAGGGTAGAGGGTTGTTTCGTGAATAACTTGAGGTTATTTTTTTTGCAACGTGGGTTCACTTTTTGAAAACTACATACTTTTTCCTACAAAAAGGTACTCTTGTTGCACATCGCCCAGAGCGATGGTTTTCGAGAAAATTGAAGGCAAAGAGATTGCTCTGGAATTTTGGTAATTGGTTTATTTCGTTTATAAAGCAATAAGATGTTCTAAAAATCATGAAATTTTGATTTTCCAATTAATTATTTAATAACTACTTGGTTACTTTTGAACCGCCATAACTTTCATAAGTTTATGTTGATTAATCAGTTAGCAACCCATCAGAGCAAACTCTTTGCCTATAATTTTCTCGAAAACCATCGCTCTGGGCGATGTGCAACAAGAGTACCTTTTTGTAGGAAAAAGTATGTAGTTTTCAAAAAGTGAACCCACGTTGCAAAAAAAATAACCTCAAAAAAGATATTCATGAAACAACCCCATACCCTTGCAAAAACTACCCTTTCCGCTTTTCCAAATAATTTTTCAGTATCACCATTTGATTTAAGGTCAAAATTTATGGCAGAGGATTTTTTTTCGAAATTTTATCTTGTTTTTTAAGCCTATAATTTCAAAACAACCGTTTTTTAAATTCACCCTTTCAGTGACCCTAACTCTCTAATATGCATTTTCCGCCCTATACATATAGGAACTTTTTTTACTATTTTTAGGAGTACTATCACCCACCGATTTTTTTTACACCATTTCAATGACACCCTGTAGAACATTCTTCTTCTTCTTAAAGTGCCTATCCTCTTTGGATGTTGGCTATCACATTGATCCATATTACTTTGTTCACTGCCGTTCTGAACAAAGCTGTTGACGTCAATCCGATCCATGTTCGTAGATTTCGCAGCCACGATATTCGTCTGCGTCCCGCTGATCTTCTGCCTTCTATTTTCTCCTGCAGTATGAGTTGGAGTAGGCGGTATTTCTCGTTCCGCATGATGTGTTCGAAGTATTCTAGTTTTCTTCGTTTGACATTTACCAGAAACTCCAACTCCTTGTTGATGCGATGTAGTACAGTCTCATTTGACACGCGATGCACCCACGAAATCCTAAGCATGCGCCGATAGCACCACAGTTACAACATTACACAGTTCAAACTGGTATAAAAAGTTCTACAATAATCACTTTAAACAAAAAAATCAATTCTTAAAATTTTGAAAAATTTTATTCATTTCACCATTTCATTATATAGGTATGTTAAAATAAACCGTCTTATATCTACAGAAATGAAAACAGTTGTATATAGTATGTATTTACAGCAAAAGAAAATAAATTAGAACTGAACCGAATTATTCACGTAACATTTGATGTGTTAAAAAACGTTCTGTAAAAACGCGGCTTGTCCCCTTTATCCTTTTTCGAGCTACTTGGGGACCGTTAGAAAGGAAAATCTATTCCACATCAAGAGGCTCATCGGTTTCGGGATGCCCGTCCTAAGACCGCGACCGAGGCAAGTTACACATCTCGCAACTGTGAGCGTCGGACTCGTTGATGAACGTGCAAAATGGGCAGGTCCACTTCGGCCCAGTTGATGCTCCGGCAGAGGAATTAATGTTTCCAGATGAAACACTACCGGGTCTGGAAAGAAAAATAAAACATAATATGGTAGGTATCAAAAACAAAACAGATTTTTAGATTGATTTAGTGATAGTACAAAAGTTACTTTACTTAGTGGTTAGCTACCTGGTGGTTAGCTACTTGCCATCAATCGAGTGGCTCGTCAAGGATCTGGCCGCTAGGGGAATACGATCTGTGGAACCAGACCAACTACGTCACTCGAGGATATTGTCAGTGATAGGGAAAATCATGGCGAACAAAATTCCACAACTGCTAGACCAAGAAACGGACGATATGCTCACCAAACATGATTTTGGAGAAAAGATAAGGATTCACATTCCGACAAGAGAAGAATGGGAAAGCAACAAAGTAATGAACGCTCAAGAAATAGCAGTCTACACAGATGCTTCCGTAACTTCAGGAGACACAGGTATAGGCATCTTTTCAGAGAAACTAGATATCCGACGATCTTTAAGGCTATCGGATGGCTGTAATGTTCTACAAGCAGAGGTTTACGCCATAAAGGAAGCGGCCAGTTGTATACGAGAGAAAATCACTGATAGATCAATAGGGGATATCGTGATATACTCTGACAGCTTGGGCGCTTTAAGTGTCACTGATTGCATCATCATGCAATCAATGAGATCGAAAACTGTGATGGACTGCCGAGAGGCACTGTCCTGGCTGCGTAAAGGCTGGGTGCCAGGCCACAGCAATGTGATCAAGAAAGCAGACAGACTCGCCAAAAAGGTGGCCAGGGGAGAGGCCGTGGCAGATGACCCACCACTTGTGACGATTAACACACTGAAGGAAGCTATAGGAACTATCATCAAGGCCAAGAAGCAAGAGACGTTGCAACACCGTGAGGACTGCGCTACAGCTCGAAGACTGTGGCCAGTGGTAGATAGCAAAAAGACAAAACAACTACTAGAGTATAAAAAGAACCTAATAAAAAGTACGCAAAATTGTAGGTGCCATCACTGGAAACTGCCCCACGGGGGTAAACTTCGTGAGATGGAAGATTTTCAACGACGACTACTGCAGAGAATGCAGAGAGGAAGAAGAAACCATAGAACACCTGCTGTGCCACTGTCCGGCACTGGAATACCGACGCATTAAAACTTTCGGGCAAGGTTTTTTGGAGGGACTAGAGGAAGCAGCAGAAGCCAACATCAGCGACATCGGGAACTTTGCAAAGAGCTGGAAGTACTTTACGCAAAGAAAGAATGAAAGGAAGGTTTGGTACAACAATACAGGGGTATCGCAATGGGCCCAAGGCCTCCGAGTGAGAGATCAAACATGATCCCAAAGCCCAGCAACCTAACCTAACCTAGTGATTAACTAATTTTCGTCCGCATCATATAATTTTTTTTTATTTATTGACTTAGGTGACATTTGACTTGGCTAGTAGTCTCTGCTCTGGTATTGATTAAAAATGACACAAGATCTGTCAAATATGACATTTAAAGTAAAAAATGTCTAAAAATAGGCTTCCTTTCCAAATTTTAAAAAACTTAATTTGAAAAAGGTGTTCCTTTTTTGATGTTACAAAAGTATACCAAATTTTCAACCGTCTAAATGAAAAATAAGATTTCTTCAAAAATGTTTCATACCTCGAAGGTGGCGGTGAACTAGCTGCTATCAATTGTTCCAATGTTGCCCATTGTTCAGACCTCGACCACTCAGTAGCTGCGTTCCTATCTTTGTTGCGCAAAGCGTCCAACAGAGGGCCTAAATATTCTCGCATAGGCAGCATTTCCATGGTGGCAATGTAGATCAGTAAATGGAAGTCGTCGATCGCTTCGTAGAATTCGTCGAAGTTGAATTGTTGGAGGTATGTTGTCAAGGCATTGAAATCCTAATGGTTTAAAAAATACAGCTGAGTATCAGAATATTCTATGCATAACACAAATATAGTGTTTGGAATCAACCCATTACCAGCGACTCTTGTCGTGGTAATAGTCTAAGAGCTAGCAACGTTTTAGAGAAAGTATTTTAAGACGTCTGGCTCTTTGATATATCTTTTACTATGCTCTCTGGAATAGCATACGGCATCTGGCTGCCGATACCCGTTGCGTTTATTACTGCGCATCGGAAGAAGATCCTATATTTTTTATTAATTTAGTACTATAAATTCTAGTATTGAATATAAATCGAACATGTCTCCATAGCGCAGTGCGTAGAGTTTCCGACCACGAACCGATGATTCAGAGTTCGAATCCGGGTCAGGTCCAAAAGTATTTTATTTTATTTTCGTTTATATTCTGATAGTAAAGTATTAAATAATTCTGGTAATTAAAAAAACAAATATTTAATACTTTACTATCAAAATATAAACGAAAATAAAATAAAAAAGTCTTTGCCCTGACCCGGATTCGAACTCTGAATCATCGGTTCGTGGTCGGAAACTCTACGCACTGCGCTATGGAGATATATTCAATACAGAATTTAAAGGACTAATACAAATAGAGGCTCTTCTTTCAATGCGCAGTAGGGAACGCAACGTTTACCGGCAGCCAGACGAGCCGGATGCTGTTCTAGAGAGCATAGTAAAAGATATATCAAAGAGCCAGACGTCTTAAAATACTTGTTTTTCCGACGTTGCTAGCTCTCGTACTATAAGCTAAATTTTACTGTTTACATTAAAGGTCAATGTAGGGTCAAGTGTTGTAAAAATGAGACATTTTTCAAAACTTTTGGATTTTTTCTTAGTTACAACTATTTAAATACAAAAGTAATTCGTCTATAAAAGGCATTTAGTTGTACTATTGCAAAAGTAAAAGTATACCAAAAGTATCCCTAAAAGGTTCAGTATGCAGAAGATTGTGTCTAATATTTAACCCATAAAAATAAAGTGAGATATATGCTGGGTTAAATATAAGACAGTCACAAAAAATAGAGTTTATATTAAATGGTGGAGTGTCATATGCGACTATAAGGATACAAATTACACAGATTTTTTTAATAGTAGAAATAAATAATCAATAAAAAAATCTAAACTAATAAAGAACACCTGCATTTTATAATTTAAATCAGAAGACAATAATTTAATTAAATTAAATTAAAAATGAAGAAAAATATGTAGTTAATCAGTGACATTAAAATATTAACAGAGTAGAACAAAAAGAAATATAAATATACCAATTAACGGAACTAGGAACTCTTTTGCGAGTTGTTGTGACTAAAATTTAAAGATATAGATGATATAAGTTATCTCATATTTACCCTACGTTTGTTTCATTATTACCCCTGTGTCTGTCTCAAATTTACTCCTCCAAAAACAAGCTTCTCATACCAGCAGGGCATAAAAGGGTCATGCCTTTCTAGACCATGTACAGGGTGGGTGAAATTCGACGCTTTTAAATGGAAACACCCTTTTCTATAGGAGATAGACGAAAACTAATATCGGTGTCTGGAGCTCAATTTTTGTCAAAAACATGATGGTGAAAACCGCATATCGATATCTGTTACCGTTTCGAAGTTACGGGGTGTTTTTCAAAAATATGCACTTTTAACAAATCGCTGTAACTTTTTTGCTATGGAAAATTTTGTATTTTTATGAAAACATTTCCAAAGCAGCGTTTTACGTAGAATTTAATGGTTTGGTTTAAGTATAATTTTTTTAAAATTAATAATTTAAGAATTATCAACAGAAAATTTGATTTTTTATATGGGACACCCTGTATATTTTTATTTTATTGAAAATAATTTAAAATTACCTTTCCAAAAATATAACACACTTGATATTTTGCTCGATTCCTCTTTGAGATATAGAATATATAAAAATTCGCCCGTTTTAAATGAGTAGGTTTTGAACGGCGCTGTAATGCAAAAAAATCTAGCTGTGAGCATCTATTAAAACGAAAATAATATTTGCTATGAGAGATGCAGAATTTTATAACTATTTAAAATATATTTAACCAACATTAACACATTTAAACTATATCTAATAACATTAAAAATAAATAGCAAACCAAGACATGAGATTTTGCTACAGGTGTTCGACATATCAACCGTCTTCTGTTATGGACAGACGGGGCAGTTTTTGAACATTTCTCGCGAAATTCATTAACTCAGTGAGGGTGAAAGATACCCTCTTATAATTGCGAAGTATTTATAATTCTTGTCTAGATTATACGGAAGAATAAGGAACCTTTATTTTTCCGCAAATATATTCATAGGATTAGATCCATGGGCACTAAGTCAGGCGGCCTCGACGGCCAACGGTTGGAATCTTGGTTAGCTATTCACTTATTCTTGAAATTGGATGCAAAAATTTGCTGATAACTTCAGCGTTCAGAGGCGGTGCGTCGTCTTACTGGAAAAATATGTTTTCGAGTTCCATTAAGGGCATATCATCAATAAGGGGTCCAAAGCCTACTAGTTAAAAGTGGCGAACTTTTAAAAATTCTGTATTTCGAAAGGGATTATAACAAAATATCAAGTGTGTTATATTTTTGGAAAATTAATTTTAAATTATTTTCAATAAATTATACAGGGTGTCCCATATAAAAAATCAAATTTTCTGTTGATAATTCTTAAATTATTAATTTTAAAAAAAATTATACTTAAACCATTAAATTCTACGTAAAAAGGTGCTTTGGAAATGTTTTCATAAAAATACAAAATTTTCCAGAGCAAAAAAGTTACAGCGATTTGTTAAAAATGCACATTTTTGAAAAACACCCCGTAACTCCGAAACGGTAACAGATATTGATGTGCGGTTTTCACCATCATGTTTTTGATGAAAATTGAGCTCCAGACACCGATATTAGTTTTCGTCTATCTCGTATAGAAAAGGGTGTTTCCATTTAAAAGCGTCGAATTTGACCCATCCTGTACCCTAACTTATCTACGCACGCGGATGTCACACGACAAAAGTTACAAAGTCCGTTTCAAAAGTTTTGAACCTCAAAACGAGACAATGGATTTGCAATTTCAATTTTTCCATGATTCATCATACAAATATTACATTATGGGGATATAACAAGAAAACTAACTGAACACAAGTTTTCAGTAGTTTTATTTGAATGTCTGTCTCATTTTTTACACAAATATATGGCGTGTCTCATTTTTACAACACCTGACCCTAATAAAAATCTTGCTGATCTTACCTGAATATGTCCATCTATAAATCGGTTTTCAACCGGGAAGGGATGCTTTTCTGGATCCGGATTGAAAGTATATTGAGGAGTCACTGGTGTTGAAGCTGGAACATCTACCAGCAAGTATTCAACTGGTAATGGTCTAGCAAGTCGAGACACTTCGTTGCCGTATGAATCTTTTTCCTGAAAAAAAAACGAAATATGTCAATGTAATTCTAGAAATTACTCAAAACAAGTCTAAAACAAAGGATTTCTATTTTTAAAATTAAAAGTTCCTTCTTTAGATTTGGTAGCAAAACATTAATTTGTTTTGCACCATTTTTTACACGTTTTCTTGTGAAAGCTATGTTGGCATTAGAAAATTGTATGATATCATCATAATGCAGTTTAATTAATAATGAAAGTATAGAAATAATTGATTAACTTAAGTGCTAAAAACTTAAAGTTTTACGCAGATAGATTACCAAAAAGGTACAGTTATTTCTTATGGTGTACAGTGGCGGCTCGTGACCTGTAAAGAGGTAGTGCTGCAGAGTGTAGATCTCAACAATAAAAATGTTAAAAATAAAAACTGCGCTTATGTTGTTATCTACCTAACAGAATAACCCAATGATTTCTTGTTAATTCTTTAAAAATGTAATTAATATTACTTGTTTCAATCATTTGTTGAGAATATCTTAAAAGTTTAGGAAAATCAAGTGTATTTTTAAGTGGTTCTCAGACTATAATGAGGTACACACAGAAATGGTATATTTCAACCCCAGAAACAGGGCTATGATTTTTTTTTCGCAAAAAGATGTTGGAAATCGTGCATTTTCTTTTAAGTTTTCCTGTATATTTAAAAAAACTTTTTAGAACTGTCTGTTCACCGCAAAGGTTCCAACGTATATAATTTCTTAATCTCTTACCACGGTTACGGCACTAAAATGGAAGCAAATACAGAAACTATCCGGTGGCTCTCATTTTTTTTTTAAAATAAATATATATTTTTTTTCTTTTTCAAACTTGAATAACTGGGTTATTTTGGAGTTATTTAAAAAACGGTAAAGAGAATAGTATGTTTCTTTTATCGAGATCTATCAGTCCTGAATATATTATGCACTTATTTAAGACTCACCCTGTATAAGTGCTATTTTCAGAGGTTCCCAAAATGTTAAGTCACGAATTAATTTCAATTCGCACCAAGGGCGTAGCGATATAAAACCATAGCCGTAACATTTAGATTTTTAAAGTAAATATTCTAAAAAATACAAACAAAAAGTCGGTTCCACATTGAATGTGTAAATTTTGCCACACTATAAATTGAGTAATTTCAATACAAAAGGATTAAATCTGTGCCTTCCCACAAGGTGCTAAAATGGTAAGGGTATGTAAACTAAAAATAATAAGTTTCTCAATGCCCTTACATACTTTGAGAGAAACAATGTATAACGTGAAATTCTAGAGTTAGAACCATTGACATTCGGGGAAGATGGAAGATAATGAAGATTAATGTGGATAGGACTGTGAATCTGAAGTATCCTGAAGGGACCTAATGGATGTAACTTGAAAAGTAAAAAAATAACTATTTATTTATGACATACCATTAAACGGTATCAGCGGTATTCAAGGCAACGAATAAGCCGATGAGCCAGCTAGGCAAGGATCATCGGCATCCTATCTTGGTCCAGAGCCAAGATATAATATATAGTACTGGAAATACCCAAATGTATGGCCCGTAGTGTGCACTAAAACTGGATCAGGGAAACGCAGAATGTCCACTGGAGAAACAGGCAAAGGCACAGCAAGGCCTTTATCCAAGGACTTAGCTCTAAAACCGCAAAAGAACTGCCACTGCTTAGCAGGAATAAAGTGCGGGTCACAACAGGCCTCTCGACAGGACACATGACTGTCAAGTGATACCTGAACAAGCTCAACCTGTACTAAAAAAAGTCTTTGCTGCAGACTCTACGATAAAGATCCTAATACAGCGGAGCATATGTCACTGCGAGGCTCTGGATCGCAAGCGACACTTTTTATTCCCATCCTATCAAGGACCTGCATAAGTTAGTGCAGGGCACAGAGATAGGAGAATGGGTACAGATATAGAAAGGGGACAAGCACAACAGGTCTTACAGGTCGCAGTGTTTCAGGCAAAGAACGGCCACTTGTTATTGAAAAAAAAAACAATATAGTCCAATCTAAGATCTCCGTTATATTATAATATTATTTAAAGATTTAAACATTGTGACGCGACGGCAAGATTCCTGTAACGCCCGATCCCCGCAGTGATCCAGCAGGCCGTTAGATAACGCCTGCGACGTACGCACGATAACGTGCGCAATCAATTACGTCCGACGTGAAGTTGGCGGCGACGCAACGGCCAGGCACGCGGCGCATCGCGGCCAACTTCGCCCCGAACGAGGCTCGACGGACCAGTCGTCAACATGATGTGGCACATCGCGTAGCGGCGACCAATAATTTTAAGTTTTTTTCGTATTAATGCCGATCCTCGTCGGCACAAACCAAATATTATGTAATGTACACGTCGAAAAGTACACGAACCGTTCGCCGTTTTCGTCTCGGACCGCAAACCAAGTACAAAACAACCATCGCTAACAAAATCCAAACCCGTTCTCGGTTATTAATTCGAAACGACCAAATAAATAACGTATCTCGCTTTTATCGGAAAATTCACTCAAAGGCTGTGTTACACATCGTATAGTTTTAACGGTAAGCAGTATCCGTTGCGAAACATGCACGATATGTGTGAAAACATGGACCGTGTGACTTGCGATACTTTGACGTGCCGTAAGACGCAAAAGCCACTTGTTCCTCTCTGTTTTTGAACGTGGTTTTTGGCGCCAAGCCTGCCCCCTCGTATATCCTATCGATTTTATCAAAGCAACAGTGTATCGGCTTCGTGGACACAATTAGGACCTCATTTCCTGTTTTCCTCTGTATTTATAATTGCTTTTTTACCGTCTACATCTTCTTCCACCAATAATTTAAGGAAAAAGCCAAACGCACGCGATGTTTCGATAAAATCTTCCAATCCTTCATCATAAAAATATTCGCTTCCTTTCTACTGTCCTGAAAATAAAATGAGGATTCCAAAAAGTTCCATTCCTCTAAACAAACAATAACAGAATGTTTAGAAAATAAAGAGCTATTTTCAACCAGTCCCGTTACAAATGCAATATCCGTAAAAAATTACACCAGTGCAAAAATGAAAAAATGTTATCCCCAGTGAACAAAACACCGGTCTCGTATTTATTTTATGCAGTGTGCGCCTGTTGAAAATGTGAAGGAAACAGTGATATCGACTGTAAATTGAGACGACATGAATCATTATTATGGTAATCTGTCTCAACTTTACAAGCATGTATCGAAATATAATTCACACACTCGTTCTCAGGATCTCGCTGTTTTAAAAACGACCTGTCACGTGGTATGTAGCTTCTTTGTATGTAATTCTAGGTTAATTCATTCATAATTGCCAGCGACATTGACGACGGTGTGCGTCAATAAAAAGAAGAAACGTTTACCTGTTACCGTCCATTCACAGAGAGCAATATTGGGTAATAAAGAAGAAAAATAAAGAGAATTTCCATTACTTTTCTGATATATTGATTTTTGAAAACATTAAAAGAAGAATTATACATAATGAAAGTATGAATGAAACCAGATTATTTGGAAAAAATGTAAATAATAACAGGAGGATGTAGGATTTTTAAAAAATAAATTTTGTATAATCCAATGACTTTTGATATAACTATTGTGCAATAGCATAATATCAAATGCAATTTTTCGCATTTTAATGATAAACAGAATTGTGTTACTTCATATTTACACATTAAATACTTCATAGTCACTTATAGTCTAACCAAACCAAACCAAACCCCGAAAGTGATTTAAAACCCCTATCTTTTTTTGGTTCTAAACAGTTCAAGATTTAGGTAGCTCCAGGTAGAATTAATATTTCTTCATTACAACCTACCACTTCAACTAGAATTCTACCTGAACCTTCTCTGATTCAAATAAAAGGAAATCCCTTTATAGAAGGATGTGTCCCAAAAGCGTTCTTTGAAAACTCATTATTATTTTAATCCCTTAGAGTAAGAAAACATGACGAAAACATTTCTGGGAAGCTTATTGATACTGTTTCATAATTATTAACAAGATTATCTTAGTGAAAAAGACTTTCCTCCATCAATTACTATGTAACTGGGTAATGTTTTCTTAAATCATCCCGTATATTCCTCATTTCTGGTATAGTCGATGCCTTCAATCCAAAATACCGAGCTTCTGATTTGATTGTGAATGAAAAATATTCATTTATACTCTAGATATTCATTCATTCATTCACATTATATCCTCTGATTCAAGTTCTTCTTATTTGATATAATATTATGTTTGGGGTAATCAAACTTCTTCAAAAAACTAAAATTATATTGATAATATATAGATAACTAATCCCCTGTAATCGTATGTACAGTACATTAGGGCCCAGTTGTTCATACACGGTTCAGGGAGAATTCAGATTTAAACCAAGTTTAAAATTTTAATAAATTGTTGAACTTAGTTCAAAAATTAGGTATTTGACGATTGAAATTGAGTAAGGCTTTTTGGAGGCTTAAACTGGGCTTTTAACCAATAATTATCTTATTATCTTATACTACAAGAGAAATATACCACAATTATATTGCAGGGTTCACAGTTTTTCATAGTTCATAATATGAACTCGGGTTTAAACTATGTTTGTGTAAACGAGCCTAAAAAATGTATCAAAACAACGAGCTTCTTCATATGATCGTGTTAATTTTTGTTCAATGTTTACTAATCAATCAATTACTAACGTTAGAAATCAATTTTACAAATGATATGAATACAGTACCACATCTTATCAACTCAATATGATGAAACCGATTATAGGAAATATATTTTATAAATTTTCTGAACCACATTAATAACAAGTTCAAGATTAAATAATACAGGAATACTTAAAATTACCAATTTAGGTATAATTTATACCCGAAAATTTAAGACTACCTTACTTCACCAGTAATTTTCTGAAAAGAAAATAATACATCACTTACGTAAATCGGAAAACAATGAACAGTCTCAGATTGTTTGAATTAGCAAAGCTACATGTTTGCTTTTGTGTCCATCAGGTATAGGTTGCATTAAACAGAAACGTGTTTAACAAGATGGGAAAATCCTCATTATATTTTAATTCTAATATTTATTAACTTTAATAACTTTGTATAAATCAAGCTTATAAATAATGTGAAATAAGAGCTTTTATATGTTAATATTCACTTAAAAATAACTATACTTTATTTAAATTATTCAATCTATCTCTCTATTTAGTTAAAAAAAGATAAACATTACATATTAACGTCAAAAATACAATACGAATGTAAAAGACGGCGTCAGCGATGGCGATGAAATGAAAATCGCTGTCATTTTATATGTAAATCATCGATCGTCATTTCCCAGCAAACTGGACGCTGTTTTTTTCGAGCTTACGGTACTTTATAGTAAATAAGTTAAGGTCAACCTTTGCGAAAATATGGTGAAATCCCCCAAACCGTTGCAAGTTAGAAAATATGGCTTCTTTGATATAAAATAAACCTAATTGCCGATTTAATCAACTTAAAAAAATTAAGAATTTAAAATGATGAAATACCCCCAGAAAGTAAAAATTAATGAAGGTGTTACAAATTTTTGACATCATGTATGGTAAACGCTTTGACTCCAAGAGAAAATTCTTATGCAGTTGATACAAATGTGTTTTGTAGAACAGGACAAATGATTTTCACCATTTAGAATACTATTATAATCTTTAAAATTGGTTAATATTTTATTATTTAATCTTCAGCGAGCAATTTTTTCGCAATACTATTAATTTTTGATAAGTACATGAGTGTTATCATATTTTTTGTTCAAAACTTTTTTTTCGGAAATAGATCGTCAGTCAAGTTTTATTGCGTATAATCAAAAATGCCATACCCTGTCAAATGTCATAGTTATTGGTATATACTCCATTTTTTTAAATGTGACGCCCTGTATATTAGATAGTACATTTTTTTCTAACTTTTCTGTTTAGAGATCTTTGTATCTTCTGATTTACTTTTTATACACCCTGTATTATTTGATACCAATTAAACTTTCAGAAACGTAATCTAGGGCGCGATTTTTAAATTCTGGAATAACTAAACTGGAATTTAAATTTCCCGCTGGGTATTCAGGT